AGGAATTGGGATGTGGTCGCTGCTCCTCTTCTCTTTTATTCTAAACCCCATGCTCCCTCTGTCATATTTATCTCCTCTTGTGTTTCAGAATGTATTCTTATTAGTCATACTATTTATTTATTTATCTATCTATTTATTTATTTATTCTTTTACTTTGAGACAGGTCCTCGCTAATTTGCCAAGGCTGACCTTGAACTTGCAATCCTGCTGTCTCAGCTTCCCAAATTGCTGGGATAATAAGTGTGCACCATGGTGCCTGGCTCAGTTTATTTTGGGGAAGGTTGTACACACACTTCAGTAGCAGAAGGACAACCTTTTCAATAAATGATGCTGGGCAACTTTATATCCTTAAGCAGAATAAATAAATAAACAAATAAATAAAATTCCTTAACCTAAGACTCACACCTTACACCTCCAAAATAAATCACAGAAATAAATATCAAATGAAAAACTGTAAAACTTTTTTGGGAAAAAAATGTTACAGCCCATGATTAGTCCAAAGTTCTTAGGCATAGGCTAAGAATATGATACTTGCAAGGAAAAAAATCAATAAATTGGATCTTAGCACTTAAGAACTTGGGCTCTGTGGAAGATCCTGTTAATAGGATGAAAAGGCACTACAGAAGCCAGAGACCAGTACTTTAGCTCGCCATATACCAGGACAGGCCTTGTATGCAGAAGAAAGAACTCTCAAAACTCTGCATTTTGAAAAATCCAGTTAGAAAACAGGTAAAGGATATGAGCAGGAATTTCACCAAAGGGAGTAGACTGGTAGAAAATAAGTGCTTGGAAAAATAAATACTCAATATCTTAGCCACTAGACAAATGCAATATAAAAGTATCTGTTGGAATATCTAAAATTGAAAAGACTTACCTCACTAAGTATTGATGAGGATTAGAGAAACTAGATCACTCAGCATCTCCAGTAGGGATGTAAAAGATTATAGTCATTCTAGAAGATAATCTTGCAATTTCCTTTAACACTAAAAATGCACTTCTCACATAACCCAGCAATTGTGCTCCTGGGCATTTACCCCAGAGAAATGGAGCCTGTGTTCACAAGAAATACCTGTATGTAAATGTTCCTAGCATTCCATTCATAGCCCCAAACTGGAAGCAGTCCAAATACCCTTCAGGGATGAAAGACAACCATCTATATCCATTCCATATACTACTTCCCAGCAACCAAAAGAAAATAATTGTTAACCCACACAACTTGAATAAGCCTCAAGGAAAATTTGCTAAGTGAAAAAAGCCAGTTCCAAAAGCTCACCTATAGCATATGCTTCCATTCCTAAAGCATTCTGAAACAACCAATGCAGTTTCTAGAGGTTAGGAATGCTCAGTCAGCACGTCTGTGTTTGGGTCATGGTGTCCTTATATGAAGCTGCACTGTGATAAAAATCATGTAGAAGACACACACTGGGATGTTTACAGCTGGTAAAATCTAAATAAACTCTGATTGTATCCTTGTAGATTTTCTAGTTTCATTGTGTACTATGGTTACACCAAGGACCCCACATGGGGAGTAGTGGAGCTGGGGAACAGGACCTCCTTATGTGCTTATCATCAAGTTTCTTTAAATCTATAATTATTTCAAAATTATATTTAAATATTTAAAACATTCAAAATTCTCCATACTGTTTTCTGATTTCTTCATTTAACAGCTCTAGGTTATGAGGATCTTGTCCCATTATAATAAAACTAAGTAAGGTCATGAGAATTAATGCTTACACTGTGTCTGTAATATTAGAATTCCTTGATAATAAGGTTCTAGAGGTTCATTAATCACATAATGACCTATAATTTTAAGTTCATTGATATATAGGACTAAAAAGATGGGAAAATTTTTTTTTACAGTGCTGGAGATTGAGCCCAGGTCCTCACACATGCTAGGCCAGGGTTTTATCACTGAGCTACACCCTCAACCCTATAAGAATCTTAACAAATTGAAGAAATTGATTGCATGAGATCAATGCTAATAATTGTACCCATATTACCTAGTAAAAGATGTTTTGCTTCCACTCTCAAAACAAGCATTGTCTGAGTAGCTTGTCTTTTTCTTTCTTCCTTTTTTTCTTTTTTTTTTTTTTTTTTTTTTTTCCTTTTAAGCAGTGCTGGGAATTGAACCCAAGGCCTCATACATGCCAGGCAAGCATTCAACCACTGTGCTATACCCTCAGCCCCTGAATAGCTTTTGAACTTTTAAAATTCAAGTTTAGAACTGGACTTAGAAATATAATAAGACCAATGAAATCTAAGGATAAAACAGGCCTTTTTCCTTATCTATCCTGTTAAAAATGTTTCTTCCCTTTGGAAATCTGACTACCAGTCTGATATTAAGAAACATGAGGCATGAACTGCCTGCCTCTGAAACGAAGGCTGAGGCAGATGGGTGCTCAGTGTGCTCTCCCAGGCATTAGTAGACTCTCTTAGAAGCTGTGCTCAGCTATGCCTTTCTCATAGTGTAGGTGTCCACTGAGTCTCTCAGTTAATTCTGGATGTTTCATAGGAACTATGGAGGGAATATATATGAGGACGATATTATCCCTGGCCTAAAAGGACTTGTAGTCCAGTGGTGGATCACATTTGTGTATGATCAGTGCAGTGCAAATGTGTAAGTTGGTTGTATGAAGATTAGGACACAGGTGGATCAGGTCTGAAAAGATTTCCACAGAGGAAGACCAGATGTTTGGGGATAAGAGGATCTTCGTCAAGGGGTGGTGCTGACCAGGGGAGGCCCAAGGCAGGTACAGTGACCAATGTGGGTTGACCTGGTAGGGATTATAATTCCTGAACCCCAGTCTAGGACCCAAGACTGACAAGTATGAGGTTGTATAATGGGAGAAGGCAGGATTCAGACTTGACCCCAGGGCTGCCCTAGGTACAGGAGTGTAAATAGTTTGCCATACAGTTCATATCCACTGACTTTCTTAATGCCATGATAGGAATGTTGCCACTTCTGTCAATTTTGAAATCTTGCTGTACCTTTCCACATTTTTAAACTACATTTTACAAATAAATTTGTATTGCAGATTCTTATTCTTTTAATGTCAGATAGAAAGTCACATTGACACTAGTAGTTATTTTAGAGACTGTGGTATTCACTAACAGAGTCAGCCTGCTTAACCCAAGCAGTGTCATTTTGGCAAATGATAAATAGGTGACAGCATGTGTGTGCTACTGTACGTGTCATTCTGACTTAAACATAGGTACAGTTGTGCTACAGTACAGTTTATTCAGACATTAGAAGCTACCTTGATGACTACAGAAACACAGAGAGACTTGTTAGGTATGAGAGAAAACTGTAACCTTATTTTCTTAAACTTCAGTCTTTTAAAAATTTTATGTACTTGTGTATTGGTAGTTATCCTCACAGAAATGGATGCATTATTCTAAGTTTTAAGAAGCAGGTTAGCTAATCTTGGGGCAGAAATTTCCACATAAAGTAACCATTGCACCATAGTAGAGATGTACTTATTTGGTCCCTGCCAATTTATTTCTCCAGTTTTCCATTTTGAGCAGAAACTTAGAGTGAAAAATGTACCTGACCCTCATTTCCAGCCCAGGTCGGCGGTGGGTGCCCCTCCCTTCCAGACTCTCTTTTACTCCTTTCCCTGGGCTGTGTTCCAGGTCCTCCTCCTCCTCACCATACCATAAGGCATGTGTCTTCTCTGTTCTGGTCACTGCTTTACAGCTCCTGTGACCATTTGCAGGCCATGTTGCCTCTCCTGTATGTCTGTCTTCTGGCCGTCCTTGACCATGTGGCTGCCATGTCTGCTGGTAGTCTGAAGAGCAATAAAATAAGCCAATCTCCCCAGAAGACCAGTCACACCTGATATGGTCCCACATCAGGAGAGGCTAGCCAAGAAGGGACACCAGTGAGCCCTCTGGAAAAGCACACCATCTGGGTTTTCATGTAGATCGCATCCTCGTTAGTTCAACTAATTGTGATTGTACAAATTCTATAGTATTACTACTGTGTTTGCGTACATATATTTTAATGGTGGTTTATGGTGCAATACTGAAAACATTAAAGAAGGGGAGTTTGATTATTATTCTTTTTAAATATTTATTCTTAAGTTTTAGATGGCCATAGTATCCTCATTTTACATTTTTGATGTATTTGGTGCTGAGGCTCAAACCCAGTGCCTCATGCATGCTAGGCGAGCACTCCACCACTGAGCCACAACCCCAGCCCCTGATGATTATTCTGACCAACAGTATGCTCCACATATTTCTCAACAAATTCTATAAAATTAGCACATTTCAATCTAAGAACTTCAAAGATATATTTTTTATTAAACTTTTATTAAAGAGATAGAATAATGACTGATCATTGCTATGATGGATTCTGGTCTCATTTTGGGGGTGGGGAAACAGGATACCATTATAATCATTAAAACATATTTATTAACTAATAAATGTTACCCAGAAGTTTATCAGCTTTAGCTACTTTATCCTTCTTGCCCTTTTCTCCCCTATCACCTTTCTTTATAATTTGTATAGAATGCACACTAGTCATTGTTTTAGAAATGCTACCAGCCGGCACATTATAAGAAAAATTTTTTTTTCTTGTAATCACAACAAAACCTTGCTTTAATCAATTTATCCTGCTAGCACATTTAAGCTTACTTTTCTGAATCACATTGCCAAGAAAATAGTATAGTTTCAGTAAAACCCAGACCATTACACAGATATTATATGATTCATTTGTGAGTACTTAAGAAGTTGTCTGCATTGCCATTTGGTATAATTTTAAGGTCTAAGAAACAACTACTGAATTCTTTCATGCATCATTTAGCAATACAACCCCTTTCTCATTTCTTTTTCAGAATCACTACTGAATTTAAGTTTAACCTTTTGGTTAGGTCTCATTATCCTCCCAGAAAAGATAGTGTTGGCTTCCAACTGTTCATTTTCTAAAAGAAAACCAGTTTTTGGAGAAATGTTTTATGCTTCAGGGTTACTTATTTATAAATTTTGAATTTTCTTTACAGAGATAGAGACATTAAATAAAAGTTTGACAGCCTCACAGAGAACTAAGGTATGCCTTGAAGAGGAAATGAAAAATCTCAAACTGTTGTCAGATACAGCCATCTTGAGGTCCCAGCAGATTCATATGTCCAAGCAGCAGGAAGAAAACTTACAAGTCAGATGCCATGATTTGCAGAAAGAAGTACTAGGTAAAGAGCATTTTTTTTCTGTTAGCAACTAACCATAATGAGGAATTTTCTAGAAATTTTTTTCTTATAATCACAACAAAACCTTACTTTAATCAATTTATCCTGCAAATATACTTAACTGTAACTATAAGGGTAACCATGTCTGGGATTCCGGCTTCCTCACATCCCTTCAGTCGTGTCTTTGAGAGTGGTAAGACTTATGGGTGTGTACCGAAGACATTGTAAGCCCAGAGAGGAAGGGGACCTGGCCCCAACATAGTCTTCAAGGGCACACCCCCAAAGAACCCACTTTCTCCAGCTAGGCCTGCCTCCTGAAGTTTCTACCACCTCCCAAGAGTGCCATCAGCTGGGGCCTTCGGCACATAAGCTTTAGGGGGACATGTAAACTCCAGACTGTAACACCTAGTCAGGTATATTATAGGATGCCCCTCTGTTAGAATTATCTGAGTTTTTTCCTCATGATCACACTGGAGTCATTGGGTTGGGGAAGGAAAAGACAGAGTGCTGTTGTCACTATGGCATTAATCTTTTCACAAGTAAGTATCATCAACATAATGTGTGGCAGCCATCCATGTCAACTTTCATGACCTGGCCGCATGACTGTGATTTCCTTTCTCCTTCTCTACCCTGTATTCTCTGGAAGGAGTTTTCTGTGTACACTAAGACTTGAACTGGAAGTCTGCCCCTCACCTTCAGGGAAGCAGTCAGAATGCCGTACTTGGAATTCTTCTGCGTGGAAGATTTATCTTTTCTCCACATTTTTAATGTGTCATTTACATGTGGATTTTACAAATGGATTTTAATTTTTTAAATTTTTTTATTTGGGGGTACCAGGGATTAAACTCAGGGGCACTCAACCACTGATCCACATCCCCAGCCCTTTTTTGTATTTTATTTAGAGACAGGGTCTCACTGAGTTGCCTAGTGCCTTGCTTTTGTTGAGGCTGGCTTTGAACTAGCAATCCTTCTGTCTCAGCCTCCTGAACCACTGGGATTAGAGGCATGTGCCACTGTACCCAGCTCATGAATTTTTATTTTATTCCTTGGTTATAATCCAGTATTGCTTTGCTTACTTTTCTCACATTTTCTGGCTTTGGCCACTTGGGTTCTTTCAGTCAGCTTCTGTATCCTGTTGATACATTCCAGACCCTTTGGGCTATTGTTTGTAACCATTATGTCTCAGAATCAGTGACTTCTCTAAAGAGCTCTAATTCCTGTTATTGGAAAATGGCATTCTTGCTGAGCACCCCTCTTCCCTATCTAGAATTAATCTAATTCTTCCATGCTCTCCCTCCCTACCCCACTATGAGTCACCCCCCTTGTATCAGAGAAAACATTCAGCATTTGTTTTTTGGGGATTGGCTGACTTCACTTAGCATTATCTTCTCCAACACCATCCATTTACCTGCAAATGCCATGATTTTGTTCTCTTTTAATGCTGAGTAATATTCCATTGTATATATATGCCACATTTTTTTTTTCATCCATTAATCCACCGAAGGACATCTAGGTTGGCTCCACAGTTTAGCTATTGTGAATTGTGCTGCTATTGACGTGGCTGTGTCCCTGTAGTATGCTGTTTTTAAGTCCTTTGGGTATAGTCCAAGAAGAGGAATAGCTGGGTCAAATGGTAGTTCCATTCCCAGATTTCCAAGGAATCTCCATACTGCTTTCCAAATTGGCTGTATCAATTTGCAGTCCCACCAGCAATGTATAAGTGTACCTTTTTCCCCACATCCTCGCCAACACTTGTTGTTTGTCTTCATAATAGCTGCCATTCTGACTGGAGTGAGATGATATCTTAGAGTAGTTTTGATTTGCACTTCTCTGATTACTAGAGATGATGAGCATTTTTTCATATATCTGTTGATTGATTTTATATCCTCTTCTGAGAAGTGTCTGTTCAGGTCCTTGGCCTATTTAGTGATTGGGTTATCTGTTTTGTTATTATTGTTTGATTGTTTGTTTTGGTGCTTAGCTTCTTGAGTTCTTTATATACCCTAGAGATTAGTGCTCTATCTGATGTGTAAGGGGTAAAAAGTTTCTCCCAGGATGTAGGCTTTCTATTCACCTCACAGTTTGTTTCTTTGCTGAGAAAAAACTTTTTAGTTTGAATCCATCCCATTTATTGATTCTTGTTTTTAATTCTTGTGCTATAGGAGTCTTATTAAGGAAGTTGGGGCTTAATCCCACATGATGAAGATTAGGGCCTACTTTTTCTTCTATTAGAATCAGAGTCTCTGATTTAATTCCTAGGTCCTTGATCCATTTTGCGTTATTTGTGCATGGTGAGAGACAGGGGTTCAATGTTATTTTCTTGCATATGGATTTCCAGTTTTCCCAGCACCATTTGTTGAAGATGATGCTATCTTTTCTCCAGTGCATGTTTTTGGCACCTTTGTCTAATATAAAAAAATTGTAATTTTGTGGGTTAGTCTCTGTGTCCTCTATTCTGTACCATTGGTCTACCGGCCTGTTTTGGTGCCAATACCGTGCTGTTTTTGAAAACTATTTTAAGTTGCTTAAATATATCACCTATTTATAAAATTAAATAAATTTATAAATAAGACTCTGAAAAGGTCATGCTATTTATTTTAGATATTAAAAGGACAAATTAGGGTAGATTTGCTGAAATATACATCCTACTTCTTAAAAATAGTTTTCTGAAAAACACTGAGGGTAGAAAAAGAGAGCAAGGTGAACTACCCTAAGAGAGGACTATGAATAGTGGAGATTTTTAGTCTTGGGTTCGACTTGGTTTGGTATAAAACTTTGTAAGTGAATGATACATGAAGTTACATCTCAGTTTCCTTTGGTAACAAAGCCATTAATATAAAATAAAATGTTTTTAAAAATAGTTTTATCAAAGTGCACATCCTGTCCCCAAATCAATGCATATTGTTCTTGTCTCTCTTCTATTAATGAGCAGTGTTCTTGAATATTTTAGTTTCCTAGAAAAACACACCAGAGCACAGGGTATCTTATACTGCACCAACAGGGAGTTTAGGTTCAGTAGTAACCTTTTCATGTTTGACAAAATAAGTAATAGTATATGGGGTTCGTGGCATAATGGGTAATGATAAGAGAAGAAAGGAGGACACTTTCCCTTCTGGGGACTCCACCCCAGCCCCTCTGTGCCAGTCATTTGACTAGCACTAAGCACTTGACCCAAGCATCAGCACTGCCCATTCTCTCATCTGATTGTCACATTAGTCTATGTGAGGACTTTTATCATCCCTTTTAGGTAGAGAAACAGTCCATGGTGACACAGCTGAGACTGAGACCCAAGCTGTGTCAGGTCAGAGCCTGTGGTGGCTCATGGACTATTCAGTGAATTCCAAAAAGACACCTGAGAATACTGAACTCCTTTTCCTTAATAATAAAAAAATTAACAAATGAGTTTTTTCTCTCCTTATAGAAATAAACCATCGACTAGGCAAGTCTTCTAAGAATTTAAGCTGTTTTTCAAAAATTACATGACTACAAGAACATCAGGGGCTTGTAGGGAAGGGAAGAGAAGGGAGAAGGGTTAGGCAAGACAAGAGGACCTATTAAAAATGCACATACTTGCACATCTGCCAGGCATACTGAGTTAGAAACTCCAAGATTGTTTCTTTATTTTTAGTAAGTGCTCCAGGTACAGTTTATGACCAGAAAAGTTTGTCACCAGCTTAAAAAAAATAGTAAGAAATATAGAAAAAAAGATGTTCCTATTGTAGCCCACTTGGGGTTAACATTAAGGCCACAACTCTGACATGACCCCAAAGCCCCCTAGGATGTGAGCAACACTGCCATGCTCCTGAGACCCACCCAGGCTGTGCACAACTACCCCACTCCTTCAGCCACCCTGCAACCACTTAGATGTCTCCTTGCAGTCCCAAGGAGCCCCTCCTCACCCATGGAGCCAGGCCAGGTGGGCCAGTATGCCTTTGCAGACGGGCAGGCCACTGTACACAGTCCTGGCAGGCCACATGGCAAGTGCTGTCCTTTTTGGCTGTATCCGCTGCACTCCTTTTACTCCCGTCTGGCCAGTCTGGGACCTCTGTCCTGTGCACAGCCCTGCTGTGCTGCAGTGTAGGTTCCATTGGAGCCTCGCTGGGATGATTTTATTGCATCTATGTGATTTTTCTCTCCAGTGGAGTAGACTGAGCTGTTGGTTCCAAGGGCTGCTAGCCCTGAGATTACCTATCAGCTGAAGAGCTGCTAGAGAGCTCTGAGAACTGCGCAGAGCTGCCAGTTTAACCAGAACTATAGAAAGCTGGGGAGAGCTGTTAACAACAGTGATGAAAGCTGCTGGCACTCAGAGGGCAGGGTCACACTAAGAGCTGAGAGCTGCTGGTGATCAGAGCTCAGAGCTGCTAGCACTAAGGGAGCTGCGTTTTTTTCAACTTCTATTGAAATTGTACAAAAAAAAAAAAAAAAAAAAAAAAAAAAAGCCCTCAACTGAATGTAACAGAACAAGGGAATTTATTGAAAGAATATGTAGGTGTTCAGCATGTGTGAAGGTGGTTAGGGAGGCTGCCAACTTCAAAGCCAGAATCATGCCATGAGACCTGTCTGGTGAGGGCACAGCTGCCCTGTACTTAAGACCCTGGACCCCAACCTGCTCCTGACAACTGCTTAGCCTGAAATGACTGCTCCCCTGCTTCGGATCTTGGCATCAACTATTATCAGAGCAGCTCTTGAGAAAAATACTTGAAAAACAGTCTGGAAAGGAAAAACTATGTTTGGCCACCTAGCCCCAGCATATTTAGAATGTTGTCAGAGGGATGTGTTGTTGCTATAAAAATGGCATATATATCTTTAGAACAGAGCAGCAAATCCAAAGTAGAATCAGATTTTGACAGTAGGGTCATTAACCATGGGAAAAAGCAAAATTATGTCAAAAATAAGCCAAATAACCAAACAAAGTTAATGAAAACTGTCACACAAAAAGATAAAGAATATCTTAATGGTTAGGATGGAGCAGCATGCTAAACACCATGAAGAGAAAAATTTTG